TTATTCGATAGAGTCCGAATTGGAACGGTATCGAGGGAGGATTCCGGTTCCTTTATAACCGATATCTTTATGCTCCTTTATGCGTTGCAAAAGACCATACGTCATCCTTGATATTTCTTCTTTCGAAGAAGGGGGAAGGGAGAGGGGAGGAGGGCATTCAGTCGTCTGAAAATGAGATTCCTTTGTATCCTTTGGCCTTTTTTGCACCGATAATTTTCCGATTCTCGAATTGTCCGCTCACCCGGCTTACATTCAGATATCCTGTGGCGTTTTATTATCGTGCAAATCGCGCATACCCTCCCCATTCTGTGGAAAAATGTTGGAGCTGTAAACGGGTGGCTGTACGATCGTATAATAATTCATCGTTCATTTATTCGCTAGAGCAAGCATAGATTTATTTAATAGGATTTAAATCTCTATTAATTCTGTTATCCTCCATATATAATTTTATTCTGGGCATACAGAATCTATATAACTTTGTGCTCCATAGCATTGTTCAGTTTCGAGCAACAGGCAATTGAATAGGTCTTGCAGGATCCAAAATCTCGAATTTCCACTTCGTTAGCTTCAGCACAGCTCTCGACAATTAGCAGTGCTCTCTAAATGCCAAGTCGAATAGCCATCAACACAAAGGCTCTCTATTCCTCGTTTTACTCAACGATTATCGAATTTTTGATATAATTTCCCAATCTTCTCCTCCCGTATTTTGAGCGAAAAACGATCTAGAAATCGTAATCTTTCACAACACATCCCATAAGAGTGAATCGAAAATTTACGGTACGATCTACCACAACACGCGCACAAGATAAAAGAAAGGAAAAGAGAGAAAAAAGGGTTCTCCAAAGCGCGAATTCTCGCTTGAACGCGACACCTTTTCAAAGAAGATGTCGAGAGAACGGGAAAAAACGAGAAGGACGCGCAACGTCAACGCGCTCGAAACCCTTGACCTGTGAAACCCTGTCCCCGCGAGACAGTATTTCGTTCCATCGAGTTCACGTTCTTTCATCTCTTCGTGATAAAAGTGTTACCGTTCTCGAATGATTCCCAAAGCTAGCCGATGAAATTAGTTTCGGTTATAGAGTATCGACGATGCCACCTATATAAAACCCGTGACGCGTTGGGATTATCGAAGCGTCGCGTTGAAGAAGAGCGTCCCCTATTCGATACGCGAGTTACGATCCTGGACAGGAAGTTGTCTGTTAACATTAGAGCTCGGATGGAAAATTCTTTGTTTCGAGACAGAATTTTATTCTCGAAAATTGCGAAAGGGACTTTTCCTTTTCTCTTCTTTGATGTATTTGATTTTTTTTTTTTCTATTTTTTATTCTTTCTTTCGATGCGGTATTAAAGAGTGACAAAATAAAATATTCTCTAAATATGGATGTAATACGACGCGGCATCAGTCAGAGAAATGTGGCGTGTAGAGAAGAAGACATTCGTGGAGAAAAGTTAATTAGAGACGGATGACTATCTCCGGGTGTCTGGTAATGAATTTCAGGAATGTCGGTTTCCATAACTGCCCGAGCATCGATCTAAATTACGATTGTCGGTTAACTAATTGTAAGCTTCCCCCGCAATCCGTGAAATTAGTCGAGTCGATGCAATCTTCCTTGATTGCGAATTAAGATTCCCGTGTACAATCGATGTTAATTCTTTAACAATATAGAGACGAATCTTTGATATTATTTTAATAATAATTGATATCTATTTGTGATAAATAATCAGAATCAGTTCTCTTAGGATTTGCAATAGTTTATCCAGAATTCGTTTCGAGTCGTTATCGAAAAACCATTCGGGAAGATTTTAAAATAAATTGTACTTCCAAAATTTGATCGATCAATTATTCAGTGATCGATTTTGTCTCTGCCAAGGATCTCTCTCATGATAGATTCATTGGAAACTAGAATAGGAAAACTCAAAATGAAACGGAAGAGGAAGAACTTTATGATTCCAGTTTGTCGAAACTCGTTACAGATTGATGACTCTACAGTAATAAATTTTATTCAGTCTTGTTACAAGGAAGATTCAATCTTACTGTCACGATTCGATTTGTCAATCCTTGATAGTAGAAAAGTGTACTTATTAACCGATGTTTGATCAAGATTGAAATTACCATTTTTATTTTACGCGTACGAGTCGTCGTATTAACATATTTTCTTCGTAAAATAATAGTTATCACAACTACCGCTTATTACATCCCACTTAAGCAATTTAAGAATCCACTAGAAAAAAAAAATCGTTCCTTCAAAGACGACGAAAGAAAAGATTTTAGGATGGATCGAATTTAAAATTCAGAATAATGTCTGCCGCGTTCGAGGGCTCGTGAATAATCAGCCAGTAACGATTACAATATATATTCTTCCGAAGTGGGAACGGAACGGGATAGATTTATGGGTTGATCGACCGCCAGTGACGTTGGGTCCAGCGATGTAGGCTCGAGATCGAGGCCACCAGTTCTCGGAGCGAATGATCGCGTGATGGAAGGGGTGAAGTCGTTGTTACGGTGTTCATGGAACAAACGCGTACAGGGTGCTCTTGCTCGATACCGAACTCCTTTGTGAGCCGATGAAAGGAAGTCACGCGCCGGTGCGTGACCGGATATAGCGAACAGCTCGCGACGAGTGCATTCTGAATACCCTTTACTTCGTCACCTCTTACTTTCCTTCCTTCCCCTTTGTTTTCGATTATTCTTAGAATTCTATTCTTTTTAGAGTCTTTTTTTTTTTAAATTTTATAAAAAGATAAAGGGTGTTCGTTGAATTTCTTTCTTTCTTCACGAATCCTTTCTAGAGAGATTAATAAAAATCGAATTAATTTTCTCAAATTAAAGGGTTGTTTGTGTATAGGAAAAGAAATTGTTCAAAGTGTTATCATTCGATATATTTTAAACTCATTGAAGAGATAGTTTTTCGATAAAGTTCATTGATGAACTATGAATTAAATACATAAATGTTAATTAGAGATCGTCCTTGATGGAGATGTTAAGCTAGCCTGCATCGGTTTCTATTAGCATGCCTATGTATCCGAGTCTATAGCAAAGTGAAATGCTTGATGAATACCATACATTCAAAATTCCAGGAGCGTCTAATTTAATTAATCTAACAAGGTATAATATCATATTATACTGTAGTAATTATTATTAAAAAAATAACAATATAGTTTGTTACTTAAATTATTTTTACTATAAGAATGGCTTCTCTCTTTATTTGATTTAGAATAACTATTGGAAAGAGTCATCATATTATTTATGAAATACAGTGTAAATATATAGCTAACTCTAGTACATTTATTACTTGAATTATTTCTACGAAAATATTGCAAAAATAAAAATGGCTTCTCTCTATATCTAAAGAGTAGAAAAATCTCTTATCTTCAGGAACAACCAAAGTACATTCTCAAATCTGAACTATCCTAGCGTTTCAGAGATATCTCTCGTATTTATTTCCTCCTTTGTCTCCTAGTTTTTCTTTTCTTTTCTTTTTTTTTTTTGTTCTCCTCCAGTCAACCCTCTCTGTTTTCTCCGCTTGTTTTTCCATCGCACTTCTACATCTCTTATCCAGTAGCTCCTTTTTGAATTTCTTCGTTTCTGTTTCTTTATTTAACTACTTCTCATTGTTCCATTCGCCATTCTTTCCCCCTTTGTTTTCCTTTAACTCTCGCGATCCCTCCTCCCTTTCCCTCTCCTCCAACTTGTTCTTTCCACCTGGCCCTACTTTGAATTCCCTTGATCTACACCCATGTTCGATCTCAAAGAACGACGCAACGTGTTCTATCCTGTGCACGATTCTGCGCACGTGTTCATGATGCTTTCGATATGCTTTCGGTGTCAGCCATTTATAAAATAGAAAAGCTCGCGTCGATGGCAATAAACTTTAGACAAAAATTCTTTAGAAAGCAATTCGATTGTTGTTCGAATTGCTGGTTTCTTTTCGAATAATGTTTCTCAAATGCAAATTGAAATATATTAGATTGATTCGATAGATTCAGAGGAATTTACATAGAAGATAAAATACATAGAAAATAAAACTGTAATTTTAAATATTGAAATTTAAAAATTCATATATATAATTGTCTCATTTTTTGGCAAAAGTATGTTTAAGAATAATATCATTTTGAAAGTGTTTTTTGCAGAGAATTATTTATTATAAGCTTTCAACAAAATTAAATCATAGTAAATGTAGTTTATAATTAAATAGGTAATACAACGAAATCGAAAATAGTAAGTGATATTAACATCGAATGAATAAATAGATTCTTGTATTTTGAAAATATTTCTTGTCTAAAATTTATGTTCGACGAGCAAATTCTTGTGATGTTGGATTATTATTGATCTTCGATTCATAGGGAATCGATTGATTTTTCCAGATATTTCTGTCAAACAAGCTCGTACATTAAACGAGAAACTGTTTCGAACAAGTCATGCTGGAATTCCGTATCTATATACTCTATATACGCTCGAAAAATATACACTTGTAAATTTCACGCAGCAATCGTTCTGTTTCGCTATTTCAAACATACATACGTGCATATGTAGTTATAAAGAGAACTGGTTGGAAATATTATATGGTGATGCAGTAATTCTATGAAAAATTGAAAGAAAAATAGAATAGCATGGGAAACGTTAAACCGGCGAAACAAAAAAATATCATGAAAATTTGAAAATTTGAAAATTCGGGTAAGAACTTGAATTTTTCAAAAATTCGTGAATAAGTAACGTGATATAACAGGAATGTTAATTCTACAGGTCAATCAAAATTTCGATATTTCGAAAGAAATAGAATACGTTATTGTAAAAACACGATATTTTTATAGAAATCGAACAAATCTTGTAAATCCAATATGATAATATTGAATAATATAAAGATCCAAATTTGGTTAATTTATATTTCTAAATTTGAACTTTGCAAATTTATCATTGCTGTAAATTTCCTCTTTCTTATAATAAGAATCCAAATATGATTGGATTAGATATTTTTAATGTGAAGAGGCTTATTCAATCTCTCAAATTTCTTTCCTTTTCTTCGAGATTTACTTTCATAAAATATAATAATTCCTCGTATGATAATCGAAAAGGTATTCCTGCCACGAGACATACATTCATTCGATTCGATTCGAATTTGAGGATTCGACCAAAGCTTCCAGATTATTGTGCATCGATGCAACGATTTGTCTGGGCGCAGTTAGTTGTCGATGTAACAGAACGCGTAGCATCGGAACGAAATCGATGAACGAAACGACTCTGGGTTGGATTAAACCACGCATATCTGGCATCCATTGCAGGTTGCTGCGCTGCCAAATATTTCTGTCGACAACGAGCAGTGGGAAGACACTGAAATATGACCTGTGCGGCCGCGCTACTGGATTGCGAAATCTGGATATATCATGCGCGAATAAATGACCCAGGTTGCAAGTATTTCTGATATATATATATATTTTTTATTGCAATGGGAAAAGGAAGAGAAAGATCAGGAGAGTTCAGCCAATGAAATATTTTTGTCATGGACGTTTGATTATTGTTTTAGATTATTGGAATTATTTTAAAATTTTTTAAATAAATTCATTTAGCTTTTTCGATTTATTACGAGAAGATTATAATTATTATTACAATTATTCTTAATAAATTGCAAAATTAATTATTTCATATACGTATAATAATCTAGATCTAGAAGATTTTAATTGCTCGGAAATATTCAATCCTTTCATTACATCGTTTTCTAACTTCACGAAATATATTCCGTGGCGCATAATAAGAATTTAAAATGACCGAGTGAAATGAAATCGAGCAACTTCAATAATATAAAAGGAAAGAATAGAATCTTAATTGAGTTTTAAAAGCAATGTCTGTCCAATTCGACCAAAACTTTCCATTGAATTACTCGACACGTAACGCACGATGATTATGCGATGCTCTTCGAATCGAATTGTTCAAGAGAGTTCACCAGTTTGCGGGAACTTACTTTCGAAACAGTGAAACGTGTTTCGTTTAGTGGATAAAGCCGCTCTCAAAACTCGGCCATTGTTTTTGACGAGTTAGTCGATCGAGTAAAGTTCAGAAATCCGTTTTAATTTTCCTTTCCCCCTCGAACGTGTACTGCTAAAAGCAGTAACGGTTAAAAGAAATATCTTTTAATTATAAAATAAATCATAATTAAATATATTGGATCGCAGATACTAAAAAAAAAATTAATAGAAAAGTTTGTTATACAGTTACGAAGATTTAAGAATTACTGAAAGATTCAATGAATTATTTTTTGCCTCAATAGTAAACATCATATCATTTTAGAATTTTATACTTTCAAAAAATTGAAAACTCTTGGACAAAGGAAAATTCAGAATACCATTGGAATCAAAGATCAAAGCGAAGTTTCAATTTGAAATGAAGATCAAGGAATAATTGTTATTATTATTTATTAGTCACAAGATTAACTTGGAAAATTCTTCGAACGAGAAAGACAATTTTGCAATATTCAGGATTGATTGACGATTCCAACATCTAACGTATAATGTGATGGACAAATGAAAAATGATAAGACGAAAGAAGATCGATGGAACGACGAGGTATGAAAGACAGAGAGACAGTAGGTGTTAGACCTGATCAAATCTGTTTAAAGTATCTCTCTGGAGGATTCGTTCGTGTTGATCACTCGAAAGGATTTAGTCTACGATGTTACGTAAACTTTTCACCCCTTGTGGAGCCAACGTTTAGTTACCGATGGATGGCTCGACAATACCATGCAAGATTTAAGCAGCCTGTTGTGCGTTTAAGCTTCTCTGGAACCACCGGGATGATGGCTTGACTGAGCTAATTATCGACTATTGTATACCCAAATCCAGCTTATGTTACGTGAGTGTTCAACCACCCTTTGGAATTACGATTTAAATCATTGAAATTTTTTTTTTTTTATTTAGGAAATTTCATCAATTTTCAGTTGACATTGTGAATACATAAGAATATTAAATTTTATAAAATTATTATTTTAAAAAAAGGAAATAATCTTCACAGAAAAAGAAATATAAAAGAAAAATTAATCTCATTAATTGTCGTAAGGAGAAATTGCGTAGAAATATTCAACAAGGTATAATAAAGAAAAGGGAGAAAATAATCAAATCTTCGTGATTGAAGACGGAGTTTTGAAAAGAATTATATCTCGTTTCGAATTTTTCAATTTAGTATTAATATATTATATTTGTAGAAATCGGAGAAAGAATAATGACAAAGTTTAAATAGAATTTACATATTTTGTTGTTTCAGATTACACAAGAGACGAGAATTCTATAGTAAATGTATTTCGTTTAGCGACAAGTCAACTGACTTAACAATGTTTTATACGAATGCAAGTTGTTTTGACAGTTCGCATAACTATCCCAACCACGTCTTAGTCCTCAAGATTGCACGCATCACGAGGCAGTCGAGAATAAACTCTCGAGTAATAATTTCACGAGCTCATTCCCCAGCATGGGATGAAACTGTATTCCATAAAATTTGAAAGAACATTATAAATATTCCACGTTTTTAACGCGAAATTATGGAAACGCAACGTTTATTCTTCTCGATAATATTCGCGAAATTGTAAAATTCGCTTTTCCCGATGATATTTTTATCACGAATATAAAAAAGGATATCGTTTTTTAAAAAATTTCGCGCCTGAAAGAGTCCATTATTCAATTCGCAACATTCGATGTGTTAAAACGTCGAGTTTATTGAAATCGTTCGTTTCGATCCTCTATTTCCTAGCCCTTTTCTCCGTGCATGGCTGGCCGCCATGCCGTTCAATAGGAATGAATGGAAAGAACGAACAAGAATGCGATGATAAGGGCTAGGTCGAAATGCATGGACGAAGCAAAGAAGCTGTTCCGGCAATATGAAAAATTCGAGAGAAAATTTTCATCCCTTCTTATTTGCTCAATTTCTACCAGTGAAATGGACATCGTTTTGTCCAACGTACATATTGTATAAATCACTCGTCTCCTTAAATTTATCTTGGAACAGGAGAAAATGGAGAAATCTTGATACGAATCAAAATTTATCGTTCGTATATATTCATTAAAAGATGTATAAAATATATTGTACTTATAAAATTACTTATAATTGAATATGGATGAATATATTCCTATTTTTTTCTCTTATGTAATATAATAAGATTATAAGAATGATATAATAATTATAATAATTAATAATCGTATCACTTTCATAAATGCATACAAACGTATATAAATACATATAAATAAAAGTTCAATTTGTAAAATAAACCGGAAATATTAACATAATAAAAAATATAATAAAATAAAGAAATGAAACACGATGAAACTATTAATCAAATGGCAATCTTATTAAAATATTACAATAATACAATATAAAAATGAATTATTATGATTGAATATTTTTAATTATATAAAATAAAGAAAAAAAAATTATAAAATGTAGAGATCAGATATTTTACTGCGTTAAAAAAAATTTTTTTAAATTCCACCTCGTCCATTTCCAAGTTTATAAATCGCGGTTTAATACACGAAATATATATATATATACATGTAAACATGTTTGTCGCATATCGTGTTAACACAGAGAATAAAATTCAACCGAAGGTAATGCTGTTTCTTTCTCTCTCTCTCCCTGTTTCCACATTCGTTTTCGACGCGCAACAATTTCAACCTCTGTTCGTTCCATAATTTACAGACCGCATTTTTTTTTTCAGGTATTATCAAAACCGATGGAATCAAAAAACGAGAACGTTGATGAAAATCGTGACAGATACGAAAATAATTCGAAACGTGGTGGAAAACGTCAATTAATATTAACGAGAACGATCGACAAAGGTGAATTTCATAAAACTCACCCCTCGGGAAGAGAATAATAATTCATTTTTGCGCGTATCAATTTCTTGTTCCGAAGATCTTTCTCATTCCCCCCCGCGTTATTCATATTTTTCTTTAATGAATTGACGATCGACTGGCCACGTGAAAATTCATTCCGCAAACCCGCTCTATTTATAACGATTATGATATACGGTTTCCGCGAATATTTTTTAACGCATTGAAAAAGATCCGGATTATAGCCGTTTAAACGATCAATTATCGAATTCTAGGGTTTTTTACATTCTTTGGCGCTAATACATCATGAATACAACATGCCGATAATCGAAATAGAGGCCTCGCTTTCGAGGCTCGCTGTTAATTCACGGGCGACGAGGTATCAACGATACCACGTGGATCGATACGATTCTCGTTTCGATAAAAAAAGAAATATCAACTGTGAGACGTTCAATTTTTCACCGGATTCCGATGCGGATTAATTTTACCATAAATGTGATTTATTTTTTCGTCGCGAATTCACGAAACTGGGAATCGTTAAAAGTACGAATCTATTTAAAGATAAAACTGTCGCGAGTCTTAAAGCAATGTCCACTAATGAAAAATATTTTTGGAAGCAAAAATCTTTAAATTTTATTCTCTAAATAGTTGTTTTTTTTTCAGATTGCGTCAAATGCATTAAATTAAATTAAGAGTAATTCTTCTTTCTTTGCGAAAAATAATTTGAAGAGTATCTCTCGAGAGTTCCTTAAACTTTGATTGATCATCGCGATCCCTTTTCTTTAATTTCTTCTTCAGAAGGTTTCTTTATTGACAAAACAACGTAGAACTGGAAAAATTTTCTATAAAATTTATTTTCATTCTACGGAAGGATATCGGATTTCGAAGTTTCGAGGATCCAAATTTAAAATCGGACATCCCCGCGTCGAGGAGGAAAAAAAAAAAAAAAAAATGGTTTAACCTATTTCGTCCCATTGTACACCACTCGAAGAAACTTTGGGAAATTGCGAACAATTAACGCGAATTTTCAACTCGGTAATAATCGGCCGTTCTCGATGGTATTTCGAAGGAAAGATTTTTCACGCTTCTCAAAGAGAAAAACTTTTGACCCCGTTCAAGTTCCATCCATCGTGGAACCGAAACTTCTGTCACGCTCTTTCACGATGAAATTACGTTTCAACCCTCTGCAATATCAGCTCCTTTTTTCCTGGTCAGGGTGGCGGAGAAGTGTGCGAAGAATCGGGGGAAAATTTAAATATAGCCGGCAAATTCAGAATCCATCGTCGCTGACCCGCGTAATCCTGGAGAAAGATCGCCGATAAAAATTCTTGAAACGGGTCACTGATATTATTCAATCGTCGCTTCTTTCGCGAGATGTTGCACTTGTGAATCGCGAATAATTACGCAGAAAGTTATCCGTTTCGTTAAACATATGCGCTTTCGAGAAGATGAGAATCGACTGATTTTGAGATGGAAATTATTCTACTATTCGATGTAATACGATCACGAGAAATTCAAGATAGATTGTTTGGAAGAAAATATAATAATTCTTTTATCAAGTTTCTTTTTTTTTTTGGAACTTCTGACACATAGAAAATGTGTATACAGCATTAGTTAAAAGTTTAGAACTTATTCTTAAATTAGATCATGAATTTCAAAACGAAAGTTAGAATTTCGTAATCTCAAAAAATGATTATTGAATACAAGTGCATTTACAGAAAGTTTAAATGTACAAAAGTGGAATATTCAAAGGGATATAAATATGTAAGTATGTATTACGATATTTAAACAGATGTTTATTTCAATTTTAATTGTGTTAATAAAAATCTATTGATAACAAAATTTAAAAAAAAATTCTACGCAGTTAGCGAAAAATTCTAAAATTTTTTTGTATTTTATTTTGCATAAAATAATTTAAAACACAAAATATATTACGCATAATGAACAGTAGCAGCAAAACAGACTTGTTTTCTTCCATTTTTGCCTATTTTGTTCTGCGTACATATTACGCAGGAGAAAAATAATTTAATTTGCAAGAACGTAATAAATTCTTTATTTATCATTCTCAATTCTGGATGAGATATTCTCGCAAATTGATATTTTATTATATGGACTTTTGAATAAAATATTTCGTTTATAGTTGCAAATCCAAAGTACGAAGTTTCTATCCACTGTTCATCGATCCATCGATGGAAAACGACACATTTCACGTTTCACGAAGAATAAATTGATTTTTATTGGGTCGATTTCGAGCATATCGGCACGAACAATTAATGCATATTTATGCCGGAGCAGGGATCGAAGCGGCTCGGTGTTAAATAATGCAATTTTATTCAAACCATAACCGGTCGTACATCAGTTGGCAATTCTTTCAGTTGGCTCAACTGTCTCAGCCCGGACGTTGCCTCTATTGTTATAAAATGAAAGTTTAACGACGCGATGATAAACAAAAGAGGGAAAATTAAAGCCGGGCATTAAATCCCGACCCCTGGCAAAATGATTCGTGCAATGAACGCTGCCCAACCCGCTTTCATCCCTCCTTCATTCTATATTCCTTCATACTCGCGATTCAAAATTGCGTGCGAATTAAAAAGTGATGATTTTTCAATCTTGTCGAAATTTCAGGAAAGAAAAAAGAAATTAAAATTTATCGATATAAAATGGAATGATCAAAATTATTGCGTAATTATTTTAATATTATTAATTTAATAGAAAAAACGATATATTTGTTTTATTATATAAATTGATTTTTCAGATTCCACAATTAAATTACTGAATAAATATTTATAGAATCGATGAAAATTTTCAAATAATTCGTGATATCTGAAAAAAAATTTGTTTAAATTCAAATTTTAACAACGGGAGTCATTTTCACCCTCTATTAGTTAATTCTTTCCAGATAATCGATCCAAGTGATTCACTTATCGCCTCTGCTGTACGAAAAATACAATGGTTCCTTGCTAACAATAGAATCGGTAACAAGGAAAAAACTCCTAAAAGAAATAATAATTATTCTCGTATTTAGTTTCTCGTCGGTTTAATTGTTGCCCAGTCTTCTTCCTCCTTTATTCTATATCATCACGAATGAAAAATAAAACAGTCTCCTTTTACGAGCCAGATAGAGCGAGATATCGGTTTACCTTGCACATTTCGACGAGACAGTCGAAATATAAGATACGAAGATGAGAATGGAGAAAAAAAAGGAGCAAACCTAACTGTCGATAAAATTAAAGTAAAAATAATTCCATCGCCATTGTGTAATTTATAATTTCCTCGAGAACCAACGTTTCCTTCTAAAAACTTTTATTCTATCCGTCTAGTTTATCTTCCTCTGTCTATCTTTTTATCCTCGCAATTGCCTTCTCCACAAGGAACAGACGATTCCTAATTTGCAATTTACGGCTTTTCATCGGAATTTGCATCGAGGCGTTACCTCATCGAAGGAAAAAAATTGAAGCTGCGGTTGATAGGGAATATATTAAACGCGTATTAAAACAGAGATGGTTAAGGGATGAAAATTCAATGGGGTGGTTGTATATATAGTATAGTGAGACGTCTCGGTTCGTTTAAGACGGCTTGGTATGTAAATGAGGAGGTCCATCATTTCGATAATTAAAATGGAACATCTTCGTTTAACTATCGGTGATAAAATAATCTTAATTATTCCGTTTTAAACGCTTTTGTCCAAGATGACGGGAAATACGACGGGAGGGGCAAAAGTTATTTCGTTGCTCTCATTATTCGCGCCTGTTTTCTCTTTCTTCTCTCTTCTATCCGCCGCGAGACGAACTTGTACGCGGATCGATAAGATTTATATTGATTAGAAGAGGAAGTGGAAATCTCTGGGGAATAAGATCGGAATAAGATTGGCTTGATCGAATGATGAGATAAGTGAATTATCCCATCGCGATGTGGAGGTAAGAGTAAACTGAGGAATGAAATGAACAAGCGATTTTGATAGAGGGGAAAGAAAGGAAAGCACGGAGATAAGCATTTTGAGGAGGATCTCTGACGATGAATTTAAGTTTAAGGGGAACAATTGATATCGTGAAAATGGATGAATATTATTTAAAGAACGATTTTTAATTTAATGTATATAATTATTGATGCATAAACATTCGATGATTTATTGATTGGGGTGAGATTGGCAATTTCATGATGACATCATTGTTTAAATGATAATTTATTCGAAACGAGGGTAGTGTTTTATGTTAATAAAATTTCTAATATTCATTTTATTTTTGCAGGGAAAGGACGTTACTTTCTCAATCAACATATTATTATAATTAACATTATATTATTAATATATGGTAACACCGAGGAAATAAACAATTGTGAAAATTTCGAATTACATTACTGTAATTAAAATATGTAAAATACCAAATATTTAATTAAAATATTCAACATTCTCTTCTCGCATGATTTTAATTTAGATGTTATAACATCTCTAATATTTAATATTTTTTATGCGTGACTTTAATTTAGATGTTCCGAGTATTTTTAATTTGTAAAATTAACCATGAAAAAGTATTATTTAAATTATCCTTCGTTGGATAAACACTTTTAAACACTTTTAATAATATATAATATAAAATAATATAAAATATTTTTATATATTATTAACACAATTTTATTAAAGAATATTTTTTTTTTTCATCAATCAGATGAAAATTTGTTAAATTCCTCAAAATTATTTATCATTCAATGAATTTAGATCAAGGTGTAAAGTATAAAAAATATATTCCAATAATAGATAATCCAAAGAAAAATTTTTAAAGAAATATATAATTATATCATAACATTATAAATTTCTTCAAATTTTATAAAATTAAAATTTAGAAGCTTATAATTGCGATATTAAAGAACAAATTCTTAAATTATCAAGTGTTTGGTGACTTAGTGAACGAGAGTATACATAATATATATATATTCTTGTTACTGCTCGTGCATAATGCATTCTTCATTCTTCTCTCCACTTTACCTTCTACTTTTTTTTTTTCTTGGCAAAACTCCTTACAAGTGTTTACCATAAAAGCATCCCCGTTCAAAGGGCGAAGATAATGGCGTAACTGGCTCGACCAGAAATGAGTAGTCTATTGCTTATACATACATCGCGCCTCTTTGTCCTTCTATCCTTGGTGGGAAGACCACTCGAGCCTGCATAAGGAGTATCACGAACCGACAACGAAGAAAGTTACGACGTCTTATGTCGTCGTTGCGCCGTGAAAAGCTGCAACCGACGTAAAGAGAGCGGTGCTTCTTTCTCGAGCGGCCACCATTTCTCATGTTCAACGACGTATATCGCCTTGGTTGCCTGGTGACAAACGTTTGTTGAAATTTACACCCCTTTCGATATACGCGTCACTCTTTCTCGCCATGCTTTTATTGGCTTTCCATCGATGGATGCTATTCGTCAGAAATGCGA